GATACCTCACATGCATAATATAGTCATTTTTGTAAGGCAACAAAGTGGATTTACCCTAAGGGTGTATGTGTGCAAGTGTATTGACTTTCATGCATTATTTTGTCTTGATTAGGGTTTTCTAAGCAATGATTTTAATCTTTCCATACAAACCCTAATTACTAGTATTTGTATATAAAGCATTAAATTGCGAAAAATAAAAATACTAAGCTATTATATCATTTAGGGGAGGGGGTGTACAAATTACAAATGGGAAATTGCAAGAAATTAAATCTAAATAATTATTACAACCATATTGAATATTGTTCAAAAATGAATAAACAAAATGCAAGAATGTAAATGTAAAAAGAAATGTGATTTTTGTTTGGTTTTTAAGAAAAGGGTTTTTTTGACCTAATTAAAGAAGATTAACTAAAAAATTAAACAAAATTAAATTTAAACTAAATAAGAAAATAAGTTAAGTTAAAAAATTATTTTTAGGGTTTTTCTATGAAAGGTTTTATCTTAATGAAAATACAAATGAAAATTAATTAATTAAAATAAACCTAAGCTCTAAATTAATTAATTAAGTTAAACCCTAGTCTAAATATTTATTGAAAAGAAATTAATTTATTAAATGGAAATGATTTTTTTTGTTCTTTTAGTTTTTATGAAGAAAAATAAACTAAATAAACATAAATAATAAAATATAAATATTTTTGGATTTTTTATTAATAAAAACAATAATAATAATAATAATAATAATAATAATAATAATAATAATAATAATAATAATAATAATAATAATAATAATAATAATAATAATAATAATAATAATAATAATAATAATATTAATAATAATAATAAAAGATGAAATAAAAATAATAAAGTCGGGGAGGTTAAAATTGAATTTGGGAGATTTGTTAGAAAAAACAGTTTTTTGAATCTGGCCCAAAATGATGTTTTTTTGTTTAAAAAATCATAAAATAAAAAAAGATTGGACATGTGTGGTAGCAAGCAAATAGGGGGTGTGGTGCAGCAAAACTGGAGAAAAGCCCAAAGTTGGGCCCAAGCGCTGTAAAGAGACAAAAATGTGGAAAAAATATGAAAAATGACAAAAGGCAGCGCGCTAGGTGTTGAATCCACGCCCTCTTGGTTACCAGCGCGCTGCCTTACTACTGGGTGGCTATACATCTGTTAACTTAACTGAGATGATAAATATATAATACAAAATGAGTCATGAATACACTTCATCTTCAACCTCCATCCAGATCATCTGTAACTTCACCATTTCTCAATAAAAATGAAATATCGTAAGCTATAAATCAAAGATGAATGAGAATTTTTGAAAGTACCAAATTCTGACCTAATTATTTTCAAAGGTTCAATCCTAAAATTCTCCTAGCTCAATCAATATAAATAAAATCTATGGACATGTACATCTTCAGGGCAATGATGTCTACATTTTATCTTCACAAATGCAAGCCTAACAATGCCTAAGTAATGAGATAGAAGTTCAAGAAAAATACCTAAAAACTGGAAATCGTGAAATGCAAATGAGCTTGATTCAAGGTGCTGCAATGATCAGGTTAGCTTCGTCAAGTTCCCAGGAAGCTAATGCAATGGTTAGCTTGAGTTGAGAGTGGCTGAAATGGCTTGGAGAAGTCAATGTGCAGTGCTCTATTTTTGGCTATGGAGGATGATGGAAATGGAGTTACAGTCGTGTAACAGGGACAGGGATGAGTTGTATTTGATGTAAGGAAGCTTTAGGAACTAAAAGGCTTGAAAACACACGAGGGAGATGTGAGTTTCAAGTTTTTGGTCAAAATGTGCAACAACTATGATTTTTGATTCAGTTCTGAGTTCTTGTATATTTTAGGGCTTGTGTATGCGTCCCTTTTCTTGCAAACAACGTGTATATGTATGGAAAAGGTTTGGATACTTGAGGTGGTCAGAAGTACAAGATCACATGTTTTGGCTTCTTGGCTTATTTTTGAAGTAAGATTGACAAACATGGTTTAAATGCATAGTACAAAGCTATCTAGAGTGGTTACCAACTTTAAACATGCTTATCTGACTTTGTAGAGGAAGTTTGTGCAGAAGGAACAAGTGCAAAGCTCAATGCAATTTGACTTTGCATAAAGCTTGCTTTATGTAAATGGCAATGGTGCCTTTGTGCCATTAATGGAAAATTATCTTGGATAAAGCTTGAATCAAATGGATAATGGTTCAAAAGCAAGTGTAATCTTCTTATTAGAGAGAGATCTTGAGGTTTAGAGGCCTGCAAAGTAAGATTGTGCAGCATGGCTATGAATTTGGTTCATGTTGCATCACAAATTTTGCATTGCAAAATAACTTGAAACCCTAACTTCTGGCCTTCGATTCTCCTTGATCACAAATGATCTCAAGAAGTTCTTGGATATTTTGGAAATCTTGTAATGTTCTCTACAACCCCTCTTTGAATCACTTTTGCAAAATCCAAATTGAACTATGTGAAACTTGGGTCAGAAGTTAGGCCAAAATCCTGACCTAAAATGCTCAAAATTTCACTAAGTGTTTTAGTTTCATGACCATGACTTCATGGATTAATAACTTGAGATCCAAGCATTTCTAGGTGAAGTTGTGTAAATAAATTTTTTAGATCTAATAGAGATCTACAACTTTCATGTTTAAAGTTTCTTTTGAATCATCTTGCATCATGGTGAAAAATTGGCTCAAAGTTGTGAAAAAATATGAAGTTTTCAACACTTAGAAAAATTTCTAAGTTTGGAAACTTTGACTTTTCAAAATGAAATCTTGACTTTTTGATTTATTGATGAACAAGTTTCATATTTTGACATGTTTTTATGAATTGTGATCTTTGACACTTGATTTTGACCAAAAAGTCAAAATTTGACTTTTCAGTATACAATTGACTTTTGATCAGTTGACTGAAAGTCAACTATCAATCAAATGACCTTGAGCAATATTTTGAGTCATGTCATTAGGTCAAAATGATGCAATTTAACTCTTGAGATCATGCCTTAAACCAATTAACCATTTGCTAGGTCAAAAATCAATAATTGCCCTTTCTCAGTCAAAACCCTAATTTTAACCATTTTGCCCTTTTGATGACTTGATCAAATTTCTTGAGGAATTGTGGTCCAAACTTGATCAAATGATACATATGAGTTTATAATGTTGATATAGATCAAAAATTATGAAGTTTGACTATAAATTGGTCACAGTTGACTTTTTCTCCAATATAACTGACTTTTAGGTCAACTACTCAATTGACTGAGCAAAAATGTGATCCAAGACTTGAAACTTGACATGTGTAATCTTGGGGGTTCATAATGATCTATGAAATTCCTATGAGGCATTAAAAGTTCAATTATCCTTGTGCAATCTCAAACCCTAATTTCAGTTATCAGTGCTTAAGGAGGTGTCTTGAGCTGATCAACCCTTGTACAGTCTTGAACCAAAGGAGATCTTTGTGAGAAAATGCTTGGTAAATGAGAGGGTAAATTTTGGGGTACAACAGAGGCTTACCATGAGACGATTCCCTTTGATGACATTGTGTTGTTCACTGGGTGGTTGGCATGTGGGTCGTGCAAGACAGTTGCTTATTTGCTTGAGCGTGTGATGCGGCAGTTCAGATACATGCAACACATTCCCATACACCCCTCTGAGTGTGCCCCTCCCATGGTGAAACGGAGGGATATGGATGACATATTTGATTATTATCTTAACCATTTCGTGTCGAATAAGGTCCAGAGTACTATAGCAACAAACGATTGAAGTTATGAGGATGGATATATCTTATGGTTCTTCTGGTTGCACATCTATATCTAGTACAGGAGGCTCCAGATAACCCACCTAGACCAGGACATACGGAGATTCTAGATGAGGAGCAGGCACATGCCGATCATGCCACTGATGTGTTGTCTAGGTGTCGTCGTATCATGCAGATCGCGCATGCGGGTATTGATAAGGGATTGTTTCCTGATGGCTCTGATGTTAGAGGTATTCTAGATGCCATCATGGCAGAAGCTTGAGAGGCTCTATGTTACATACGACAGCAGAAGAATGTGGGGAATATCACAGACCGACTCATTATCCGCCATATTCAGTAGTCTAATAGTTTTAGTTCAATTTTGTTTATAGTACTATTATGTTTTTCATATATTGGATTATTTGGATAACACTTTGACAAATATTTTACGTATCGTATTTTAGAATATAATATTTATGAACTTTTGTACGTATTCTGTGATTATTTCGTATTTAATCGACATCCTATTTCACTATGTATTTTGCTATGCATTTATGCAGCAAAATATGTATTAAAAACATATTCTGAATTGACTGTGCAGGAACCGGAAATGCATATCTAATTCAAAACCGTAGTTACATTTTCGGATTCATTTTTTATTTTTAAAACAAAACAAAAAAATTTTAGAAATGCATTGAGAAGTATTTTTTATTTTACATAGAATATTTTTCCCCTATATAAGATGCCATAAAAAATTCTCTTTAAAAAATTATAATGCAGCTAGATTTTTTTATAACAAAATTAAAGATCAATTAATAGGACAAACTAATCCGTTTTAATCGATTAAACTATTATGTCAGTTTGATATATTGAGCCAGAGCCAACCCAAACCTGCATGTGTCTATCCCTAATTTAGCACATGCCTCAAAGGTGAATGCTAAATCCATAGGTTATAGTCTAGTAAATAAATTTGCAAAGGCACCGACACAAACATTTTGATGAGTAACCTTCATATTTTCATCTTGAAACAACTGATATGAGCATAAAACACTTACAAGGGCAAAATAGAACAACTTGGTATCTATCATCAAGTATGAAATTTTATTTATATAAATTCAAAAAGTAATCGATGCTGTAATAAATCCAAATCAATAATCTCAGTTAAACATAATGTGCTAAAAATAATAATCCTTTGAAGTGTCATTGTAAAAACAGTTTAGTTCATCCATATATTCCTTGCACTCTAATTAATCATCCACTTTTGAGCTGCTCACATACCCACACCACCTTGTATGCTCGTGAGGGAAACATTTGAAGCTGCAGCTTCCATGTCGTCGAATCGTCCTCTCCTCACAATAAATTCTGGAGAAATTATTCGTCCCACAACTTTAATATGGGAGATGCTGCACCACAGTAAGCCAATTTATCATAGCAGAAAAACATATAAGCAAATACGACTGTTTTTTATTTATTTAAAGAGTGATATCATACTGTGAGTGTGATTGATAGACACTAAAGTGATGAACAAAGAACCTAAATCCGTATGCGTGTGAGTGTGACAGGATATGTTAGTTAGTTAGGTGTACGTTGATTCCATGTCATTCAATTGTGTGTTAGGAGAGAGGGTAGTCAGGACTATTGCTATTGAGTTGGTTAGGAGAGATGTGTCTCTGGTTAGGAATCTCTAACTCTGGACATGTGATCCTATGCTCATCATTTCTATTGAATAACATATACACATTTCATCAATCTGGATTTGTGAAATCCATCAATGACCAACTTATCAATTCCGTTTAAATTGGCAATAATGCTCTTCTTCAATCAATATTTGACCCAAACGACAATATGTGAGAGGAAGAGATGAGATTTGAGAAACATACCATATGTAGAATAAATTATCATTTTCATTTTTTTGAGCACTTCCCAACAGCTCCACCATCAGAAAACCTCCAATGCAGAAAACAGGTTCAGGTAGCTTGAAATGCTGTAACTTGTTTTCCTGTACAATATGCCACCAATGCATTTCAAATTTCATAAACATTGTATGATAAAAAATGCAGTTCAAAAGGGTAAAATTTCATAACCATGCTTGTTATTTTAAGAAGGTACAGAGAGATGAGAAACCACACCACCTCAAAAATAACTTGGTATATTTTGTAATTACCAAGATATCATTAGATATCCACATGAGAACGAACTTAGAAAATCTAAAGAGAAAAGGAGAAAATGTGCTTATCAAATAGCAACCAAAAAAGACAGAATTCAAAACAAAGTGTTTTTCCTTTTTGCCCCTTTATCCAAAAACAAACGAACATGAATGATCTCTTCAACCCTTGTGCTACTAAATGAGCTAAGTACCTTTTAATAAAAGATTTAACCACCAAAATATTTTACTATTCCAACCAACTACTCTGCCCTACCAATACCCCTTCAAAGTTGAAATTTAGGAACCAAGATCTGATTGTTGCCTTAACCTTCATAAAGTGCTTCTTCCACTTAGAATTCCATCTTGACAATCTCCACTTCTTTATCCTTTGTTTGTCTTTTGTCAACATTGTTACTATAAATATTTTTTCTACGCATCTATGCAATGGAGAAAATGGTTGGCAAATGTTTGTAAAGAATCTAATTCACTTGTTTGCACTTTTTTGGTTCACACTACTACTGCCACTAGGCATGGCAGAGTGCAGGATTGATTTACTTCCCCTCTTGGACCCTTCCGGTTTTTAGAATTGTAGGGTACCACTTTGACGCAGTCGGAAGCCCTAGAGAATAGTAAGCGCTAACTTAGAATGAAAAACAGAATTCCAAGCGCAAAACCTGTCAGATAAACTCTGGAGTCCATCAGAAATAAAGAAAAATTCAAATTTTATTATATGAAAGATAACCCTTATGATCACGCCAAAGGTCTTTAAATACATAAAACAAAATAACCCTAATGGGTCTTATGGGCTTTTAATCAAAACATAATTAAATAAAACAAATAAAATAAAAATTGCTTAAATATTAAAATAATATAGTTTAAATATTAAAATGTTTTCTGACGCGCGATATCTTCTTCGATACGCCAAGGAAGCCCTCCTACATCAGACTCCTTCGCTTCTGAAGAACTCGACTCCGAGTTCTCTTCTTTATAAAGAGCTTCATCTGATTGCAATTTGCTGTAAGTACCAACTGGAAATCTCTCTTTATGCAGAAACGCCATCACATCTTCTCCCACATTGAAAACTTTAATTTCCATGTGTTTATCTCACAGGAGACAAATCGTTTGGTAACTCATTTGCGGTCGACTCCTTGAAATCCTTTAGGACCCCAAGCAGTTCTACAAGAATTGTTGTTTTCTCCTTTACATCATTCATCATCTCTTTAGTCAATACTGGACATAAAAATTTAGTTTCTTTAATAGTCTCATTAATCTCCTTTCTACTCTGTGTCATCACCAAGAAACTAGACTTCTTTCCTCCTGAGTTCTTGTCAAAGTGTAAAACAGGAGTCATAGCAATTTTATGTGTACTCCATGTAAACATTATCATGTTATCCCTTCCTCGATAAGTGATATCAGTATCAAATTGCCAAGGTCTGCCAAGTAAAACATGACAAACACCCATATCAAGAACATCACAAAGCACCTCTTCTCTGTAATGCTTTCCGATGGAGATAGGAACTCTGTATGATAGTGTTACTCGAACTCGGGATCCCTTGCTTACCCAATTGAGGGTGTATGACTTCTTATGAGGTTCTGTGGACAACTTCAAATGATCTACCAATTTCTGTGAGAGCGGATTCTCCATGCTGCCACTATCCACAATCAAATTACACACCTTGTTCTTGATAGAACAATGCGTTTTAAACAAATTCTTGTGTTGTCCTTCGTCTTTGGATGCTAGTAACATTCTCTGCAACACAATTTACCCTCTCATCATATTATTCCTCTACAAACTCAACATTGGTATATTCATCATTCTCAACTGCAGAATCTTCTCTTTCCTCATCTTCCTCCCTTTCTTCCACAACAACAGTGACTCTCCTTGTTGGACAAACATTCGATTTGTGGCCTCTTCCGTTACAACGATAACATATATCTATAATGGGTCTAACATATGGATTATTCTGCCTCTAGATTGGTGTTTTACCCTGTTGTACACCGCTAGAGCTGCTAATCCCCTTATTCCCAAGGTTGGAATCCCAGGGAGTTGCACTTTTTTCTTTGTCACCTGCTGATTCAGAGTTATTCTGGGGTAAGTACCTTCTTATTGAATTAGGAGAGACTAAGAGACATTTAAGTTAAACTGTGTGTTTTGAAAGCACTACGGAGACTATTTTATATAGAGAGATTACAACTAATTACACGATATAATCGATGTGGGACTATTCTACATACAAATATTCTTAACAGTATATATATTTACAAATATCAACGCTCCCCCTCAAGCAAGAGCATATAAGTCAAATGCACCAAGCTTGCCACATATATAATTAGTTATGGGGCTTCGCAGAGATTTTGTAAACACATCTGCCAATTGATCATTAGAGTTGACAAAGCTTGTGACGATGTCGCCAGATTCAATCTTCTCTCTGACAAAGTGACAGTCTATCTCAATATGTTTGGTCCTCTCATGGAAGACTGGATTTGAAACAATGTGTCATGCAGTTTGATTATCACATACAAGTGTCATTGGTCTTGCTTCTTCAATTTTAAGTTCTCTGAGCAACTGTTTTAACCAAATGAGTTCACATGTTGCCATTGTCATGGCCCTATATTCTGTCTCGGCGCTTGATCTTGCAACTACATTTTGTTTCTTACTTTTTCAGGATATAAGGTTTCCTCCAACAAGTACACAATATCCAGAGGTGGATCGTTTATCAATTGATGACCCTGCCCAATCAGCATCAGAGTATCCAACTATCTGAGTATGTCCTTTATCGTCATGAACTAAACTTTTTCCTGGAGCACATTTGATGTATCTTAGAATCCGGATAACAGCATTCATGTCTTCCTGACAAAGGGAATTTAAGAACTGACTTACTACACTGACTGCAAAAGAAATGTCTGGACAAGTGACTTTGAGATAATTCAACTTTCCAACCAATCTCCTATACCTTCCCGAGTCTGATAGAGGCTCCCCCTGATTGGGTAGTAGTCTTGGATCCATAGGAGTATCAACTGGTTTAGCGTTCAACAAACCTGTTTCTTTCAAAATATCCATAGCATATTTTCGTTGAGAAATCACCAAACCATCTTTAGATTGGGCTACCTCAATACCCAAGAAATACCGGAGTTTACCAAGATCCTTTGTCTAAAATTGATTCGAAAGATGTTGTTTCAACTGGAGTATTCCCGACTCATCACTACCAGTTATGACAATATCATCTACATACACAATAAGATAAATACACCCTTGGACTAAGTGACGATAAAAGACAGAATGGTCAGATTCACTACGGACCATACCAAATTGTTGTACTACATTGCTGAATCTACCAAACCAAGCTCTCAGAGATTGCTTAAGACCATAAAGAGACATGTGTAGCCTACAAACCATATTTGATGACTCCCCGTGAGCAACAAACCCAAGTGGTTGCTCCATATATACTTCCTCTTCAAGATCACCATGTAAAAATGCATTTTTGATGTCAAGTTGATGAAGAGGCCAATGTCGGATGGCTGCAATTGCTAGAAGAAGTCTGGCAGATGTCATCTTGGCTACAGGCGAGAAGGTATCACTATAATCCAACCCAAAAATCTGAGTGTATCCCTTGGCTACCAAGCGAGCTTTAAAACGATGAATCTTACCATTTGGACCAACCTTCACTGTATAAAGCCAACGACAACCTACTAAAAATTTTCCAGTGGGTAGAGGAACTAGCTCCCAGGTACGACTGCTTTGAAGAGCAAGCATTTCACCAATCATCGTTTGCCTCCACTCGGGGTGAGATAATGCTTCACCTGGAGATTTAGGAATAGAAACAGAAGACAAAGAGGATAAACAAGTATACTGCAAAAGAGAAAGACGATGATAACATAAATCAATATAATGTGGAGAAGGATTTTGTGTTTGACGTATACCTTTGTGAAGGGCAATCGAAAGATTAGACTCAGGTTGCAAAATCGAATTCGGTGATGGCTATAGCGTCGGAGGAGAGTCTACAACGACCTCAGGGACATGTACAACCTCAGAGACAGGTATGACAGACGTTGGTTTACGACGCTGATATGTTTGAAGTGGGCGAGAAGTGGGGGGGGTCAACCGTAGGGGTTTCTCGTGGGACAGGTTCCCTAGAATGATGGGAGATAATGGAAAATGGGACTTCCAGAAGAGGTGTGGGAGTACTTTCCTGAAGGGGTTCCGGAGTGACTTGGGTGGACACAAAATATAGCACAAACTCGAAGAAGGTAACATCGGCTGATATCAGGTATTGTTGCAGAGTGTGTGAGTAGCAACGATAACCCTTTTGGGATCGATGATAACCAAGAAAGACACACTTTAGTGATCGAGCTGATAGTTTATCAAGACCAGGGGAGAGATTATACACAAAACATGTAGACCCGAAGACTCAAGGAGGAATTGGGTGAAGAGCAGAGTTTGGAAACAGGGTTGAATGAGGGATTTTATTATTAAGGACAGATGAGGGCATGCGATTTATGAGATAACACATCGCGAGCACAGCATCCCCCCCAATCTGAGAGGTACATTACCATGGAGAAGTAGAGTCCGAGTGGTTTCTACGAGAAACCGGTTTTTGCGTGCGGCTACCCCGTTTTGTTGAGGTGTATGAGGACAAGATGTTTGGTGCAGAATACCATTGGATGACATAAAAATTTAAAATTGTTGGGATAAATATTCACGTGCATTGTCACTTCTTAAGGTATGAATGGACAAACTAAATTGGGTTCTTATTTCTCGATAAAATAGTTCAAAAATAGAAAACAATTCAGATTTGTTTTACATTAAAAATAGACACGTGCAACGTGAAAAATCATCAATAAATGTTACAAAATACCTAGACTTAAAAGTAGACACGGTACGCGATGGACCCCAAACATCGGAGTGAACTAAAGCAAAAGGGGACGCAGCCCGTTTATTGACTTGATCAGGAAAGTGACTACGAGTATGTTTCCCTAATTGACAAGACTCACACTGTAAAGTGGATAATTTAGATAAACTGGACACCAACTTTTGTAGCTTGGGAAGACTTGGATGGTCTAAATGCGCATGTATAATGAGTGGAGAATCTGTGGTGGAGTATGTGGTAGATGACGTAGAGAAGTAGTAGAGGCCTTGAGACTCACATCCGACGTCAATCGTCTGTCCCGAACTTCGATCTTGCAGAATAACATCACTGTTAGTAAAAGTGATAGAACAATTAAGAGAACGAGTTAAACAACTGACTGACAGTAGATTAAATGGGCAACTAGGTACATATAGAACAGAAGTAACAAAGAGAGATGGTAGAATTTGAACAGTACTGATCCCTTAGGATCGGGTTTGAGAACCATTTGCGGCAGTTATACTCGGTAAGAAACCAGAGGTAGAAAGGGAAGAGAAAAGATTTTTATTACCGGTAACATGATCAGACGCACCAGAGTCGAGGACCCAAGGACCAAGAGGAGATGATTGAGAGACGCAAACAGATGAATTACCAGTGTGTGCAATCGAAGTCGTGGAACCAGAGGTCTGGTTAGTCTGACACCACCTGAGAAAATCCTCGTAGCTTGGCGTAGGGTTCTGAAGAGAAGTTGAAATATGCATAGTGTCTGGGTTATCAATTTGAGCTGCATTTACTTGCCGTGGAGGTTTGCCATGCAACTTCCAGCAACGATCGATAGTATGTCCAAGTCGGTTACAATGGTCACACTTAGGACGAGGTTTGGAGTTAGATGACCCTCCTCGAAGGCGATTTTGATTGTTGCCAAGAGATGCAAGAGCAGCGGTGTCACCTGGTGTTGAAATAGCAATAGATGGAGGAGAAACTGGGCGAAACGCATGAGGTGTAGCCAAGCGCAACAATTGTTCACTAACTGTATCATAGTTAGGAACAATAGTACCTGATAAAATCTGGTTACGAACGGATTTGAGTTCTGATGGTAGTCCTTTAAGTGCCATGACCATGAAATATTTACTCTGTTGTTCGGCATGAGCTATTGCATCTTTTGCGTAAGGCATGAGGGTTGCGTAACTTGCTTTCAAGGCATCAAGCTTACTCAAATAAGCTTGCACATCCATATTTCCCAACTTCAGTGTGTTGAGTTTGTGGATGACACTGTATAGAGAATGAACGTCATTGGAAAAGACTTTCTTGGCCTTTTGCCACACCTCATAACAAGTGGAGAATGTTTAGTATTGCGCTTGGAGGTTAGGTGCTATGAAAAACCACAACACAGTACACAAAGAGACATCAGTTTTCTTCCATTTAGCGAGTTTGACGGCTGCAACATCACTCAATTGGGTGGTTAGATGCTCTTCATATCCTTGATCGTGAAACTACATCTCGATAGCACGAGCCCATATGTTATAGTTGACTGATCCGGTTAGTTTTTCACATGGGATAAGCGGAACTTTAGTAAACGAGACAGAATCAGCATCTCTCATGGCTTAAAACACAACAATTGGGGTTGTTTGAACAAGAGTACGATTTTCTGTGAGTCGAAAACGGAAACCGAGGGCGGATCTGGAACCGGAGGAGGAAGGCGATTTTTCGGTTAAAAAAAAATTCGTGAACAGTCACGGCGACGATGAACAGTGCAGCGGCGGTGAACGGTGACAGCTGCGGTGAACAGTAGCCCCCGGAAGAAAAAAAAATCCCGTGGGCAGTGCGGCGGCAGAGGTCGCTGAAAAAAAAATTTAAAAAAAGGTGAGGCAAACCGGAATGATGACATGGTTTGCAGAAGAAAATTTCTCACCGGAAGACAGTGGGTCAACCGGGTAAAGCACGGCAAAGAATTGCCTCTTAGAAGGCTCTAGATACCATATTGAATTAGAAAAGACTAAGAGACATTTAGGTTAAACTGTGTGTTTTGAAAGCACTTTGGAGACTTTATTATATATAGAGAGATTATAACTATTAAGATGTGGTTAGGCCTAATTCAATCCTACAAAATCGGCTTCTAGAGTGAGGATTGCCCCCACTTATAAACACATGTTCAGGCCATATATTGTCCGATGTGGGACTCTTAACACACCCCCTCACGCCCAGGACTAGACAACTGGAGCGTGGAAATAAATGGTGGATGGCCCACTGGATCTTAAACGAGACTCTGATACCATATTAAGATGTGGTTGGGCCTAATTCAACCCTACAAAACCGGCTTGTAGGGTGAGAATTGCCCCCACTTATAAACACATGTTCAGGCCATATATTGTCCGATGTGGGACTCTTAACAATAACTAATTACACGCAGAGTTATTAATCTGGGATAACGGAGCGGAGCGGCCGATCCCCGGGAATGGAAAAAGTGGGAATAGCAGGATCCTGGATAGCGGGATAACTTTTTGTATACTAATAATTATATAATAATCTATAAAATATATGTCATGTAATACTAAACTAATTTCACAACACTCATAAAATATTTATAAAATCTAATGTCAAACAAAGAACAATGCTTAATCAAGATTCAAAACATAAAGATTCAAATTCAAACTTAGTACTATCATATGAAAATTCAAGCAAACATAGAAATCATGTAGCATCATCAAAATATTCCTCCAATTCTTCATCTTCTTCATATTCCTCCAATTCTTCATCTTCAACTTCTTCAAAATAGAAAGAAACGGTGTGTACAACAAAACAAAATAGAAGAAGTAGAAAGTAGAAAGAAACAGTAGAAAGAAAAGAAGTAGAATAAGTTGAAGAATTAGAAGAAATCACTTGAGATGGCAGAAGGAGATGGAGGAAGAACCGAAGAAGGAGAGTTGCAGGGAGATGGCGGCAGAATCGTAGAAGGAGAGTTGAGGAATTAGGACACGATAAAACACAGCGAATGAGGGAGAAAGAAAACAAAAATTGTTTTAAAACAGAGGCATTTAAGTAATTTGGCCCAGAAAATTGTTTAAAAAAAAAAAAAGAGAACCAGAGCCGCTCCGCCCGGGAACTTCCCGCTACCCGCTACCCGGAAACGCGGCTGAAGCGGCCGCTTTTTCATCTCCGCCACCGCACCCTAAATAGCGCGCGGGGGGGTGCCGCACCGCTACGGTGCGCCGCGATAGCGGCTAGAGCGCCCGCTATTGACAACTCTGATTACACGATATAATCAATGTGGGACTATTCTACATACAAATATTCTTAACACTATATATATTTACAAATATCAACACTTCTAAAAGACGAGAAATTTCGAGGAGATTTTTTCATCAATTCTGCAATCAAAGCTAAACTGGATGCCTCAGCTACGGTCCATACAGTCTGTAAACCCATCTTCTCCTGCAAGGATCCCTTTAGGTCACTTATGTATCGAGCCACTTTCTGATTCTCTGATTCTCCCAATTCATTGTGCTCAGAAAACCGCAGAAACTCAGCTGGGTATTCAGTCACAGTTCTCTTGCCCTGAACACACTCGATGTACATGTTATAAAGAATATGTTCATAATCCTCTAGTAAGAACCGCTCTAGCATCAATTGTTTCATTCTTCGTCAAGTTTTGACAGGACCCTTCCTTTGCATTTGCCTCTGAACAACAAGTTTATCTCACCAAACAGCTGCAGTACTCTTCAGCCTGATCGCCACCATCTTAACTTGCTTGTTCTCAGGAACACCCATAACGTCGAAGAATCTGTCAACATCGATCTTCCAATCTAGAAATTTCTCCACTCCCATCGTTTCATAGAATAATGGAATATCAGCCTTCTTCGAAACTCGAATTTTCAGCAATAACATTAATAGCATGATGATTGTTTCCACCCCGTGGAACCCTAACATGTTCTCTTCGACGATTCCTGTTGTTGTTGTGTTCACCTGATTTGCTAAATTCGTCATCTGTTCAGTCAAAGCAGTTAGAGCCGCGATAAAAACCGTGGTGATTCCCTTAAGATCTGCTTTGGTCACCAGTGGATCCGCCATGGTTGTCAAACTACGAAAAGAACAGGAGAAAACCTGCTTTGATGCCAACTGACGCAGTCGGAAGCCCTAGAGAATAGCAAGCGCTAACCTAGAATGAAAAACAGGGTTGCAAGCGCAAAACCTGTCAGATAAGTTCTGGAGTCCACCAGGAATAAAAAAACTTCAAATTTTATTATATGAAAGATAACCAAAGGTCACGCCAAAGGTCTTTAAATACATAAAACAAAATAATCCTAATGGACCTTTAATTCAAAACATAATTAAATAAAACAAATAAAATAGAAATTACATAAATATTAAAATAATATAGTTTAAATATTAAAATGCTTTCTGACGCGCAATATCTTCTTCGATACGCCAAGGAAACCCTCCTACATCACACTTAAATAAGCCAAACAATATTCCCTGCAGAAGCTTAGATGATTCAATTTAGCTACGGCTGGACCTACTGAACCCTCTCTTGTTATGATTCATCCATAGGACAGAACTGACGGGAGTTTGGTGGCATAGAGCCAATCTATGTGTTTGTCGACCTTGTCGTGTGTGGAACTAGTAAACTTTAAGGTCTAGTCTTTGAGTTTAATTTTTAAATTTCCTGAGTCAATGTAGGTAAGGGAGTACTCATAAACATTAAATTTTATGGGTAAGAGAGTGTCAAAACCAGTAATTTCCATATCCATCATGGACAAATTTTGCAGTACCCATTGCCATCCTTACTCATCTACCTTCTACTATTTATTATTTTAAGCTAAGTCCATACTCTTATTAACCACCCAATCAATTAACTGTTTTAACTTATACTCTATCTGAGCCAATTACCATTATCCAATTAAACTGCATGTTAAATTTCATTCAAAAATAGAAAAAAACTGCATGTTTAGAATGGATAGTCAACCACCACCCCAACTAACCTGAGACATTGGAAATACAGGTGAAGTATATGCCCATATGTCATGTCTACTAAAAGCCATTTTATCACGTAAAACAAACTTTGAATCTATTTCCATGGGCTCGCTTGCGCCGCCCAATCTAAATCGGATAGCTTTAGCTGAATATATAGGGAAGCCATCATTAAAATAATCTGACAAGAAATACAAATTATACGTCAGCAGAAGCAAAAGTTAGGAAACCTCGGCATAACTTATTTTTCAGTTCAAATTGATATACACAATACATCAACATATCTACGGGGCTAACCTTGGAATGGTTGGACCTGAATCTCTGTGACAAGACATATCTTGGAATATAGCCGATAAAGCAAAGTCTCGGTAACAGAAGGATCACTTTGCCCTATACTTGACCAATATGATGGGCCATGTTCAGTGATATCCCTAGGCTCCAATGTACTTGTAAGGCTTTCTCTTACGCAATCATCCGTGCTGGATGCACATATGGCTTGTGAGATGCAGTTGTTCATAGGAACGAAACCAAAAGCTAGTAGCGCATAGACTCTATGATTTCTATTAAGACGCTCTCGTTTTTCTGTATAATACCACAGCTTGCTGCCAACAACTTTAAACAAGTTGTCAACCTCAATGGTACGAACAACACCATATATTTCAGGAATCTTTTTCAAGCAAAGTTGCTTACAGAGGCCATTTTCAATAACTGCAAAATATTTAGATTTCATATTATTACTATTTGAACAGCAAAATAAAGCCAGAGAATATTGAGCTACTCACTGCATTACAGAAACAAGTGAGATAAATATACAGGACAATTTAGCATTAGAGAAATTCACTTTCAGAAGCATGCCATTAATGTAGCATACATAAAAACATTCCAAAAGAATAAGCATTTAAACAAATAAAGATACACGTGATAAAATCCTAGCACTGCAAGTAATAAAAGACAAATAGCTTACCAAAATCATTCCAAGAACTAGACACAGCAGATGCACGAACAAGATCACGAGAATTGTCCAAATAGGAGAAAACTTTAATTGACATGTCATGCCCAAGCCATTGGATCAAGTCCAAATTGGTTTTCACTTTAGACATTTTCTCAAGTATAAGATCCTGATTGCAAGCAAAGGTGGTCATTCAATAACTGCATAACAGCTAAAACTCAATGCCAACAATAGTGATATCAAAACGCAAACTGGAAATCTCACAAACATGGTCATCATGAAGAAACATTCTTCAAAAAAATAGCTATTCACCAAATATAGATTGTTTGTTTGGGAAAGTACGGGAAATTACACATTAACGAGTTGAAATCAATTTCTTTAAAAAAATCAGACCCTCTTATGATTAAAACACTGAAAAATATATGATAAAAAAGTTGAAAATTTGCCAACCACCAAAACATGATTAACGGATAGCACCTCGGATAAACATTATACAACTTTAGAAAATTATGACATTTGAAAATTCAACGCCAAAGCAAGAAAAATTCAAAGATATAAATCCTGGGCATTATTGGTGATATAACAGAAGATGGCACCCAAATATGGCCGATCCAGCCGCAAACCTTGATATCACGGGGACAATCACAGGAGAGCAAAAAAAATTAAATGGAAATTTTGCACCGATGACCAAATCATGCTAAATAAAAATAAGAATATAAGGAAAAGAGACATTCGAGGAAGGAAATCCATGCTTGTATTAAGAAAATATAAAGTCACAATGTTGCATGTGAAAACTGTGAACGCACATACTCATAGGCATGGAAAAAGAATTACCTTTCAGCAAGAGAGTACGAATCTGAGATGACAGAAGAAACCCTAGAAAGCGAGAGAAAACAAAAGCATAGAAATGGATGGCAAAGGATTTATAATTGTGGTGTCTTAAGGGTAGAACTCTTCTAGAATGACAAGTCATCCCTCAAATTAAATATTTTGAACATTTTTTCCCTCTATTATTTATGTACTTTTTCGGAAAAAAAATTATGTAGATTGAGATATTTTTGAGCCAATCTTTTTATTTGTCTATTTCTTAGATGTCTAGCGCACAATGTATGTGGTGTATCGATGCACAATCTTGTAATTGTCGTTGAATCTTAATTTTTTTTAATTTTTTTTTACTTACCAATAGTGCAAATATTGTAATCTACTAACCATTGTCGAATCAAAGTTTTGTTCACTTCGCTCTGCCCCCTTCGTGAATGGCTGGCCGTCTTGGTCTCCACTGATTTGTGCTTATCCATGTGTTGAAAATTGTCAGTCAAGCCATGGACCTCTCAGGTCATCTTTATCCTCACCGCCTTAACCATCACCAATCTGTAGCCCACTCTCTTCCTCCCTCTATCTGCCTCCCGTCAAATCGTCAATCCAAAACCTACTTTGACCTCTGTCTTTCTTCTCACACAAAGTCCAAACCCAAATTTCTCTAGTGTTGGTTGTTCAAGCACCCCACCAATCAATTTGTCTAGCCCAGTTCTGCAACTTTTACTCAACCCAAATCTAGAAACAATCCTTAATACCCAAGATAAGTTTTTCTTAGCAACAAATATGACTCCATAAGCAGCTGTTCTGCAAGAGCAGCATACTCGCTGTTGATCCTAATTCCCATCTCCTCTTTTGATGGTTCAAGATTTTCTTCACATTTCCACAATAAATAAATAGAGAAACTAGAATCATTTATTTTATATCATTCTAAGAATCATGGAAGAAGACTAATACCCTAAACCAACAACAAGACAGTAACAACCTTCTATTATACAAAACTACACTCATTTTACTAAATACAAACAACAAATTCTTAAAAAAATACAATTACAAGCAGAAATTTTATGGGAAAAAAAACACATAACTCGAGTAAAAGTAGAAAATGAAGAATGATACCTGAAATCAAATAAATCAGATTCCATTATGCAGTGGTCAATTTTGATTCTCTCCCGTCGCTGATTCTTTCTTCTGCCGAATTCCTCTTTCTGTGTTCGTTTGAAGAGGTGGGTGGGAGTATTTGTGGCATAGAACCATAGTTTTATTTTCCAAAATAGAATTACAAAAAAAAAAATGTAAAAATCATCTTTCTTTACAAAATAAATACATTTCATTTGTTTGTATTTTATTTCAAAAATATAAATAATTTTGATATTTATAAATCAACAACTTTAAATAAAAATAAATAAATAAAATATGTTTTTATTTTGGTATATATCATATTGAATCTATATTTTAAAATTTAGAACTATTTGATTATTTAATTAACGTCAATACGATATAGTTTTAGTCAATTAGTTTGAGGTTAGATTAAGAAATACATATGATTATGGTTTAAGTCAGTTGTGTCAAGTCTCGATTAAGAATAGTACTTTAATTTGTTAAAATTTTAAGTTATTAAAATGTGATTCAAATCATAAAAATGACTTACTCGAATTAAACTAAATGTGAAAAATTAAGATTTTGCTTTTGTAAATCTGATTTGGGTCACAGGTTGTCTGACTAGAATCAAATATGGTTATGTAAATTTGGGTTTTGTTTATGTGAGTTTGGTTTGAATCACAGTAAAGCATGAATCGAATCAGAGAGGTTTGATTCAAATCATGAAGATGTTTGATTCGAATCAAAGTCTGACAACAAATTTTGAACTTTGGTTTTATAGTCCAGATTTGAATCGTAGATCGATAACTCGAATCATAAAAATGGTTGATTTGAATCATGGAGCAGATTTTCTTAGTTCTTGGATTTTAATTCAAATCATGCTCTTTGCTCTTGACTCGAATCAAATTGATATTTTCTCATGTTTTTTGTTTGATCTCTAACACATATAAATAGTTTTTCTAAATTCCTCTCATAATATTCGTAGTTCTATGAAAAGCATATCTTATTAGTCCAATTTTTTGTTGGTGATATTATTTTTAGATCCACTAATAAATCTCTATCAAAATAATGTTAGTATGATGCAGGGGGAGTTGGAAATATCGTTGATGTGAGAGCTTAATTACTTCTTAGGATTTTAGACCAAGCAAACAGAAACTAGCACGTTCATCAGGCAGACAAAGTGTTGTCTAAAAATTCTAAAGAAACATCATATGAAGGATTCAAAGAGCATATCTACTCATATAGCTTCAAATTTGCTAATTGATAAATATGAACATAATATAGAGATCGAATTTACCAAATATATAAGTATCATAAGATCTTTACTTTATTTATGGATGAATTACAAAGCCATAATCAGACGTTGGAAGATGAAGTTAAAACATCAGACAACACCAATAAGAGGTCAATCCTCTGAAAGAGGTGGAACTGTTGGATCCCTAACCACTCTCAGACGGAAATATAAGGATCCTATTTTTGAAGGTTTAAAACCTTCATCTTTGGCCAAGTTTGATGGACGCAATGATCCCTACGAACATGTCGCCTCCATCAACACGTAGATGACCATCATATGAGCACAGGACTCTCTAAAATGTAAGTTGTTATCGGGCACCCTTAAGGAAGTTGCCCTCATATGGTACATGGGCCTTCCGCATGCCTCTATTAACAACTATCAAAAGTTCGTAAAGAAGTTGGTACACTAATTCGACGTCATATGCCACAAGAAAATATCCACCACCGACATGTTTAACATGTCAAAAGTCAGCCCTGTACATTGCTGTCAAAACTTACCTCATCTCAATCTGCTGTCAACACAAACAAGCCAAGCACATCAATCCAAATTTTACACCAAAAATGACAAAAAAAACAAAACTGAATCAGAAAAGCAAAAGTTAGTATATAAATGTGTTTCAAACTTCACCAATTTTTCCCTCCAATTCCACCCTTATCTCAATAAAGAAATCCATTGTTTCATGGACCAGGAGGGGCTGAAAAAAGAAAACACACTGCAAATGTACAGCATAAAAAAAAATCTATGCACAATCAATAAACCAAAACCATTGCTCAGAAACATCATCACAAACCCTTAACCATTCTTCAACAAACTTAGAACAATTATAACATAAATCATCCACAAAATTCCCAGAGAAATATTTCAGATATTCAAAGAAATTATACTGTTATAACCAGTATTCATCACACTATGTACAGGTACATAGCAAGCTTACCGGAAATCCTAACTCCATTTTTGAAGTAAATTGCATCCCTTCCTCCTCTGCAACACACCTTCACCAAAACCCTCAGTAAACTACCACCAAACTTCATCATCACTGCATTTCTACCTCACGACAACTACCGTGTCGTATCAACATCTTGCGCCTAAGTTTCAGATCTATAACCACAAGGTACCAAGTTACTAACGGCATATGGGATAAGGAAGAATTTTTTTTAATACGCAAGTAATAAGAATCAAACGCCGAACCTGAGTCATTTCCTCCATTCTCCGGAACCACAAACTCGTCGGACTGACTCCGACCTTGTAAGTTCTTCTTTCTTCGCATTTCTTTGTACCACTGTGACTAACATGACTTGTTGAGCATAAACCCCGTAACTATTGATTGATGACTCTAACTCTAGCCATTGAATTTCCTTTCTCGGAAACTTAGGGTTATGGTTTAGGAAACAAAATGTGTAATTGATATATATATATATATATATATATATATATATATATATATATATATATATATATATATATATATATATATATATATATATATATATATATATATATATATATATATATATATATATATATATATATATATATATGTGTGTGTGTGTGTGTGTGTGTGTGTGTGTGTATATATATATATATATATATATATATATATATATATATATATATATATATATATATATATATATATATGTGTGTGTTTAAGTTTATTTTGTCTTGGCTTTCTAAGTAAAGAACTGGGACAGTGGAGAGGCGATTTGAGAATGAGGGTGTAATACGGTAGGAGAACTGACTTGGGTGTTTTGCATTTGATCGCATTTGTTGCGGATAGCAAGAGTCGCCATCGACTTTTCTTTTATCCAATAAGGAAAGGGTGAAAAGAACAGGAAAGACCTTTGTGATTGTTTTCTTGAGTTCAGGGGGTAGGTTATAAAAAGGGAATGTGTTAGCATCCTTTTCATCAGTAGTTATCTACGAGCTCTTAGTTGCCTGCT